TTATCGACAGACGATCAACCCTTATCGTATCCACCCTGCACAAGACTAAATATTAAATTTTAAGTACATTATTGCTGGTCCCACAATATCTTCTAAACCGCTATAACTGGTTTGAACATACTACCCACAAATTCGCATCGAAGCAGTGGCGTATTTAGCTTTTTGCCGCCCCTAGGCAAATTTTTTGGCCGTCCCTTTCCATAATGTTTTTTTTTGGTCACCAATAATAATTAATCGCCTTGCCTTTTGCAAACACTTATTACTATACTTTTGTTTTATACACTACTCATAGTATTGATATATTATGATGAAATAATTAATAATATAGAAAAAAAAAAATTAACAAATTGATTCAGTATTACATATGTTTACGTCTGGCTTTATTTTCAGAGAATGTCTTTATGACGTCTTCAAATTCCATTTCTGTTGTTAATTGGTTTTTAATACTTAATGTTGATAATGCGTTCAATCTTTGTTGGTTCATTGTCGATCTTTGGTAATTTTTTATTCGTTTTAAACATGAAAAAGACCTAGTGAACCTATTGCCAGATTAATTAGGCAATAGGTTCACTATGGACTATCTACTTATTATGCATATATTGATTTGTGTGGAAACTTGAAAATTAAATATATGTTTTATTCTAGTTATTTATGTTAGGTATTAAAACTACAAGTGTCATATGTTCCGTTTGTTTGCTGTAATACTAATATATCCTTTAGGTACCAAATTTTGTTAATATCTTCTAAAAGACAAGATTGAAGACAAAGCCCATAAACCTGTATTCTTTAAATACAGAATACAGATGTAAGATGCGGTAAAACTAATTTATACTTGACAGCCAATTTTTGAAATCGTCTACTAATTTAGGTAAAAAGTAAAAATGTTTTATTTAAATAGTAATACAAACATAAAGTAATATAAATGCAACACCTTTAAAAGAGCTACTAAATGTAACAAAAACAGAAATAACAGTTTGTCATAAACTATCTCCAAAACATTTAGAATGTGTAATGGCTGAAAGACGAAATGTAGGATTAGCAGCACAGTTACTGTCCCATAGTGTTACTACAGCTTTAGTTCATTACAAACTGGTTCAGACAAGGCACTATCTAAAAATACTGGACAGTTTATTGAAACCATAAGTAATTGGTTCGATATAATGAACTCATATATACCATCTGAAACATTGTGTACCAAAAAGCCATATGGCTTAAATTTAGAAGACCAGAATAATTGTTTAGACAATACGTATAAGTTAATATATTCAATGAGATGCAAAGGTAAAAACACACTGCTAACATTTCAAAAGGTATTTTAATTTCTATTAAATCTACTCAATTACTTTTCAAAGATTTTATGGAAAAATATGATATATCTTACATTCTTACTCACAGGCTTAATCAAGATAGTCATGAAAGTTTATTTTCTATAGTAATAAGTCGAGGAGGTCTTAACGGTTTTTTTAATTTCTGATAACATTATTATAATTGTTTTGAAAAAATATATACTTTTTTAGTAGCAGCGTTTTGTTACATCATCTAACATTTTTAATGGTAAGTATTAAACATATTTTTTATATACGAATACTTTTTCTGCATTAAAATGTATTGTTTATTATAATGGTATAGTTTGTTTTCTTGTGTGATTGTTAGTTTTTACGATACTGTGATGACAATGGATCATTCCATATGGCATCATTGGGGCTAGGTTCTGTGTAATAACACAAAATTGATTTTGACAAATTAGTAATATTTCTTTTAGTAAAATACCATGACGTTAAATCTAAATGAAATTGAAGAACGTCTTCGAGGAGATTTATCAGATATAGATGAATTAGGTGAACTAGAAGAAGAAACAGAAGAATATATCATTGCAACACAAATATTTAAAATGGAAAATTTCATTGAACATAACAATTTAGGTATTTTGGTTAGCAGTATTATACATTTTCTATATTTATTTGTAAATTAACAGTAGTTATTTTAATTTAGGAAAGGGAACGGTGTTTGATGAGAGGTGAGGCACATTTAATTTTAAGTAATACATAATCATACATTTTTTACTATAAAAGTCACCTTGTTTGCCATTAATTTTGTCATTAAAGTAATGAACAACCTATTATTTTTTATTATTATATAATATGTATCATAGTAATTACTTAGCGACCATGATCATTTTACTGATTATAATTATACTATTAGCGTGTTTTCTGTAAAACATTATTAACCCGGCATCAGTCTTTTCGACCGCAATTTTTTATGGTTTTAGCGTTACACATTTTAGGAACCCCTTATCCACTTGAACTTCATGATATCTTTCAATTAACTGTTAAGAGTAATGTTCGTTGTGTCATTTTGTATATTTATATCAGATTTACGCGATAATTCGTTTTTTAAAACTGATATCGGTCATAATGACCGATGCCACTGTTCGCGTGTGTGAAAAAAAACGTTATTACATGGTCGACATACTAGCACATGTTATCACATATTATCACATACAACATATTTTTTTAAATTTGTTAGACGAAATTCAACAGTTATATTGCTTGTTGTATATTTTCGACATTATAATTTAAAAATGAGTTCTTGTGATGAAGATCGAATTAGAATTTTCTTAGAGGAATATGATGAAATCGCTTATTCAGATGTTTCGGATGTAGATTATGTATACGAAAGCGATCATGACACTGATACAACTCAGTCCTGCGACAGTGATAATGATGATGATAGTCAAAATCTAAGTAATTTCGAAGCGTTTATTTAAAAGTGATTTTATCACTTCCAGTTACAATAAAATCTGTAGACCTGTGACGGGGATCGGCAGTTAGCCGAAAAATGATAAGGGTCCGATTTACAATAATTCTGATAAGACGGTGTTACCAACTTAATTAAATTATCCAAAAATGACAAATATTGTAGTGTTTGAAGTATGAGTAGAACTGTACAATACATGTATTCCTCGCATTCATATCACACAACATAAATCTGTTATCTAAATTCTAATGATAGTAGTAAATAATAAATAAGTATTAAAATACGTTAAATATATTATAACTGTCAAAAACTTAGTTTTCTATTTACTCAGTGTGAAATATTCTCAATTAAAATTAATTTGATGTATAAAAATGTTATTTTTATTCGTTCTCTGATGTTTGCATAAAAATAAATAAGACACCTTGAAACAGATATGCTATTAATTACTAACTACTATGCTATATTAGATTTGTTGAACACATTTTTTTTGTAATTTGAATAACAATTTAATTAGACTATTTACTTCTAAAATTACTATCAATATTGTAACATAATTTTTAAAGTTTTATGCCGTATAAAATATGATTACAAATTCTTCTACAAATATAAATATTGTCAGTAATATGTTGTTTATTAATTTTTTTAATTGTCGGAGTGCATTTTAATATAAACTATTGATTACGGAACCTTCAAAAATACAAATCTAAGGAGTTCACATACATTTGAGTAAATATATATACATATACAAAACTTGTAGAATTCTACTTCTAGTGACGTAGCCCCATAGTTTGGTTAATAGCCTTTTTTACAGAGTATCCATTAAGATTTTTTATTAAATTGCTGTCAAAATAACCTAATATTACCTGGCAAAAATAAAATTTGCAGCCTGATTGTATAGACTCCATCGTTTTGTTTTAGAGCAATTATTGTATATTGTTATTATTTATTTAACTTTTGTAAAAAGCATTATAATAACATCCTTTACAAAATGTTTAATAAAATTTAAAATAATACACTGGTTAATTATAAATCTACAATTGTCCATTTCATGCAATAAAACAGTTATTTTGTTAAGCAACTCAAAATTCTGTTGTCTAATCATTACATTATATTTAAATGTTTTCATTTCCACACACATAATTATTAAATATCAATAAATAAGATATGGGTAGAAAATAATATGAATTTAAAATGTATTGGGTCAACATTTGGCTATTAATTTATGTTACATTTATAAATTGTGTAAAGCAATAATGATGTACTGTGAATATATGTACTGAACTGGTGGTGTAATTTAAACTATATAGTAGCGTTTTAGATGGGAATAATTTTTTTGTCATATTGTTACAGTTGTGTACTACATACACAGATTGTTATTTTATACATAGGTTTTACAGCAGACAAAAATTTAAATAACCAATAATAACAGTTTTTTTATTATTAAACAAAGTGTAATGTATTTTCAAAAAACAGTATAAAGAATAACTCATTATATAGTTTTGATTCTGGTACAAATAATTATTGAAATTAAACAGGTTTGATCAATAGTTAAGAGCTATTACTTGAAACTATTTCCTCCAGCTTGAATGATGGTAGAAGTCAATTTGGAATGGTAAAACTCAACTTAAGTCGACCTATAAATAAATCATTACAAAATATCAATAAATGAATAGCATTGTTCACAAGTAATATAATTGCACTTTTAAATTTTTTTACAGAAACAATGTTTGAAAATACATAATGCCATTCCAAATGTACAAAGTATGTAGGTTAATATTTATTTGGTATTGCTACAGAACAATTCCCCTCCAAAAAAAAAAAACGGTTATACCTGTGCACTATTGCACGAATGTTATCACATATTTTTTAAGAAGTTACAAGTTACCTAGTTAATTGCCAATTTCTCGAGTTATATATCCTTCAACTCGATGACCAGCTCTCCGTAAAAATGTTTGAATCCGTCCTGTATAGTCATGTATCATTTATTGAATATAGAATAATTTAATTTTAATACATTAAAATAATAAGACTAAACCATATTCCAAATTATTACTCACCCTGAGGTTTCTAGCAACTATTATACTATCCTCATTTGACTCCTGATCTGTTGCTCAACATTATTTTCTTTACTCTACAACCTCTTGTAGCAGCATATCTGGTTCCCCTTAAGACATGTAGAATTTTTTACAATTATAATATCATATCAAATATGAATTACTACAACGTCATGTCATAAAAAAAATTTAATTACCTGGATAAGGGCCAATTTCTTGAGTTATGTATCCATCAACTCGATGACCAGCTCTCCGTAAAAATGTTTGAATCCGTCCTTCTGTATAGTCTTGTGTCATTTCTTCCAAAAATTCTTCAATTGCTCTTGTATTGGATTCCCTTGTTCTTGTTGAAACACCAACACGGATCTGCAATTAAATTTAGTACATTAAAATAAATCATGGACTTAATCATATTCTAAGTTATTACTTACTCTGAGGTTGCTCCGAGCTTGCTTAAATTCAACCTCGCTTTGGTTTTCTAAAAACCTCAATTGATCTATAAAAAGATTAAATAGATTAATATCAGTTCTATCGTTAATTAAAAATATGTATTCAACTGTATAAAAATTTAATATTTTAATAGACCTTACATAAGAACTTACCAATAAACTCCCATACTTTAGGATGAGGCTTCATAATTTGCAATAGCATTGAATGGTAACTTTCTAAATAATTATTTGTCCTAATGTCTCTCCTGAATACAGAAATATTATCAGGTCCAATTTCTACAAACCAGAATCGATACAGGTAATCATAAATAAAAGAATGGAACTGGTAGGCCACATCTTCATCTTGGAGCATATAGAGAACTATAGCGTTGAATCCATCAACCATTGATGGAATTCTTTCAATCCTGTGCGGTGGTAGATAAGGTAATGCGAGTACCTACAAAACAAATCCTCGGTAAAAGTAATTATTGATTTATTTTTTTAACAAAAAGAATACACATACCATCCTAAAAATTCGAGCAGCAAAAGCATTTTCTTTCACCAAATTGAAGACACCAACCTGCTTGTTTCTTGTATACCGAAGAATCGCCTAGAATAGCATAATACATTTATTAAACAATAACCATATAAAATATTATTACACATTCTTCTACAAATATAAATATTGACAGTAATATGCTAAGTTTTGTTTATTTATTCATTGTTATTATATTGCCGGAGAGCATTATAATATAAACGATTAAAGAATCTTCATAAATAAAAATAAAAGGAATATACATACATTCGAGTAAATATATACATAAAATATGTATGGAGTTCTATTTCTAGTGAAGTAGCCCCATTAAGATTTTTAATATTAATTAAGACAAACTAATATTACCTGGCAAAAATGAAAATAGCTGCCCTGATGCGTAGACTCCATCAAAACGCCTTCAATTGCATTTATTAGTGCCCTCTCGTAATCCGTGATAATGGTGACATTCTCATATTGCAAAGGAACAGTGTTCCGTATGTACCTGAAGAGCTCTCTGTAAATTTCTTCTGTCTTCCCAGTCAACAGCGCATTAACAAGTGGAAAACTCTGAAAGTAAAAAAAAAAAATACAGTTTTTGTAACTACTTTGGTAAAACTACTACCAACTAGTTAGATAAGATTTGTTTATTTAAAATTGTACTATTTGTGACCAATATTATATCTACATATGTAACCTTTGTGCATAAGTGAAGTATAATATACTTTTATTAACAGGAAGTATACAAATTATATTAATTATGTTTACTTTAACATTATTACATAGTTTACACACCACATTTTTATACACGACTTGGAATGTAAAAAGCTGGTAGCAATCGTTATCTGTGGTTTTTGGTGTAGTTTTAAATGTTCCATCACATCCTGCTACTGTTACCTAGGAAAATAAAAAAATATAAAATTAAAAAAAGTTAAGTAATGTAGGCAATATTTTTGTCATACATTTGTGAGTTCTTCCACAATTTCTTCCAAGTAGGCTGTGTTGCAAAATAGTAGTCCCGCAAAGACTCCATTCACCATAAGCGGTCCTTGATAAAATCTGTATGAATAATAATAATAATAATAAACTCAATTTTATCACATAACAATTAAACAAATAATAATTAACTTTCTTTTACTCACAAATTGGGTGGTGTTTGAAATGTTAAACTGAATTCCTGGTTTTCTTCAAGTTGTAGTAGCTGATGTAAGTGCAAAAGATTTCTCGGTGTAGGCGGGAAAACTTGTTTCCTGATCCTTCGCATCCTATCTGCTGCTTGCAAAAAAGTCTAGTCGCCGGCTCCTTCTTGATAGCTGAAAGTCAAGAACAATTAACAATATTAAATCAGAATAATAGTTCTAATTCCCTCACATTTCCATATCCTATTATGAGTACTATTTTTAGTAAACAATTTTATTGGTTAACTGTTTGGACAGTGATATACTTATTATACATTTTTCACTTACTCGGCAATGGCTACCATGTACAGAAATCGAGCTGAATATGGTCTAGGATTATGATCAACACATTGATTACCAAGCCTGTTCCTTAATTCCCTCTTCTGTGTGTCGTCATGTCTTCTTTGGTGGTTATGAGCTTTCCTTAAGGTAAACCTATTGTCATTTGCATCTGTGTGTATCCATGCAGTAGATCGACATCCATTAGTATTATGCTCTTTGCATCTCAAAAATCTAAATTACATACCGTGATGTTTAAACATTAATTAATTCATTATAACATAATATTTTAACAATTTATTATTTAACTTCCTTCCCTAAATTTGTTTGCATACAATTTTCTAAATGTATTATTATTAATATAAAACATTTCACTTCATATAATGATTATTGATTAAGCAACTTACATTTTTTCCTCTGTTGATTTATTTCTAAAGTAATAAAATCCAAAATTGTCTTTCACTAATTCCTCTCTTCGGTGTACTCCAGGAATCAATGTGTATGTGACAGGCCTTAGATTTTGTTGAACTTGCTGTTGTTCTGCAACTTGGTCCAATCTTGGAACTTTGTGAGAGAACAATTAAAATGTAATTTGAACAAAAATTATTAATTTTTAGAAATAATACCTGGTAGTGCATAGTCATGATCTATCATCACAGCTGGAACCACAGCATTAATTTCTTCAATTCCATTGACATTGTTGTTGGCCATAATTAGTAAAAAATATTGTAGTATGGAAAAATAAATCTAAAAAAATTCAATCTCAATTTCCAAAAAAAGCAGTTAAAAATTAATATGCAAATGTTTAAATATTAATATAAATAATATAGGTAAGCAAGATGATTAATGTTTATACAAAGAATAAAGAAGCCTTTAAAAAGGCTTTATTAAAAATGATATTGGGTTTACTATGATTAGTCACAGATGAACAAAAGCAAAATATTCAATATAAGCAGGTACTGCAGGATTATTAATTTTTGGATCAAGAATAAAGGTAGCTTTTAAAAAAGCTTTTTTAAAAATGCTGTTTGGTTTTCTTTGGTAAGTTGCAGGTGAACAAAAGCAAAATTTGCAAAATACAACAAGCACAGTAAGCTGAAACAAATAAAAACACCATACATTATAGTTAACTACAAATTTACATCCAAAAATATTGTAATGAATAGATTTGTTTTCAGTCCATTTGTGCACAAACAATATTGATGCTATGTGATTTTGGTGTATCCACGCTTTGAGCACATTGGATGCATTGGAGATTTGTTTGTTTTTTTTCCTTAACACATTAGGAAAAGTTAATATCATCAATGAACACAATAATAAAAATAGCTTTTTAATAGTATTAGAATACAATAATAGTGTAACTAGAGCTGAATGCATATACAAACTATATGGACAAATATTTGGAGGCCCTATGATGTTTTCATTTTACTTTGAACTCAACATAACAATAGCAACAAATTTCAGTAACAATTTTACATCATAAGTTAATAACATAACATCTCCCTTTTTTTTATTAAATTTAAATCTTATCCCCTAAATAAAAGGATCATAGTTACACTATACTATATTCTTTAAGGATTAATTCACGCATTCCTTTTTATTTAAATTTTAGCCCAAAGTTTGCTTTAAAGGATACTGGAGATTTGGTACTTCTCCATCTTAAGACTGTTAGTAGTTTTGCAATGAACCTTGAGGTTAAGTTTGTGCTGGTAATTCTTGATATAATACCAATATCCACCATTTTAGAAAACACCTTTGGAAAATACCTAGAAAATAAACAACTTTAATAATAGTGAGGGTGTTGTACAAGTTTAATAAACACGTGTTTGTGGCCACTGAGATTGTTTGTGTCTATTACTATAATTTATGTTGTATAGACAAATCAGGATTTTACAAAAATATGCTAATACACATTTCTGAAGAATTGTATAAGATTAAGCTATAATTATTACCTGTATGTATTCCAATTACCATCTGTAGTTTAAAAGCTAGGAACTTTGAATTTTCAATATTAATACCGTTAAGAGTCATGCTAAATATGTTCCTATATCTAAGCTTGGCGGATATAGGAAACATTATTGGTAAAACTTTAAAGTAGGAAAGTACTTTACTCTTAAAAATATCAACAAACATAAATTAAAAACAGAAAATTAGTATAATCGTATGTAGTTTTAATTCGTGTCCGAATAACCTCGACGTTAATTCAAATTTTGTAATATTTTAGGTTATGCTATAAAAGTATAAGCAAAGCAATAACCGTTTTACAGGTTAGGTTAAAAAAATCCAAAATAAAGGATGCGTTTTTATTGGATCTTGAAAACCGCGAAAAAGCTGTTCAAAGTTTAATGTTAGAAAGTCATGATTTCTAACTAATTATATTATTGCTGAAAAGTTATAAAAGTTTCAAGTTACAACCAGCACTTTAAAAATTAATATTTAAATACTGTATTATATAATGCTTTCTAAAAATAGCATTAATATTTAATTACTATATGAATATATTTTCATTTAATTAATATTATTACACATATTTGTATTTTAATAAAAATAAAATTATTGTTTCAAGTACCTATTTAAATAAGTAATTGCATAAAAATAAAAAAAATTAATTGTTATCTATTAATGAATAACTAAAATAAAAATGATAACACCTCATTTATAAATCATAAATGATTTAATCAAAATATCATACTATTAAATAATAGTACCTTTTAATTAATATACCTCCATTGCTAAAAAATAAATCATATCCTACAATTCAAAATATAAAATATTGTAATCGGAAGAAGAATAAAATATCCCAATAATGTATTCAGTAAGATTTAAAAATTTTTAGAAGGAGGGCGATTTTTTTCTTAGTTTTTAAGAACGATGATCGCAGACAGGTCGCGCTGTTATACTATTTGCATTACAGACTCTACGTGTATTTTATTAATATATCTTGCATATACAGATTAAATAAAAACACGTAATTAATTAAATACATAATCTATAAGTAAGTCTATAGCTGTAGCCGTGCTTATGAAATAATACTTATACGTTAGCGGGAGTGTGAAAAATATGTAATGAATTATAGCTTGCGCTGCATATCGTTAGGTGCAACAACATTTGATAAGTTAAAGAAAATTCTCCTCATTAATCGTACTTCTCCGTCCTCTAAAGGTGGGGTACCCGTGTGTTATTAATTAATTTTATACGTTTCAGCATTGGAGATTTGTTTTAATATAACAATTTTTGTAACTTAGTCCTGCCGTCTGACGGTGGACGATATCGATTAATGATTTTTTTTATTAAAAGCATAAGGCTTAAAATTTATAGCTATTGCTTACTGCTAATTACTACTACACATTGGGTTATTAGGCGATGTCTGATTAGATATTGAGATTGGTCATTTTAAATTTGGAATATTAAAAAAAATTACAGATTCAGCTATGTAATTCTCCTTAAGGAATAGCTCCGAGCTTGTAAGTACATTACGATCAGCTAATGACTTATTTACTTAATACATAATAATAATATAAATTTATTGACATAGTACAATACAAAATATACATAATTTTAATAATTAGATAACAATATTTCCGCACTCCCTAATACTAAACTTGTGTTTGGGAAGCGAGTTCTTATAAATTATATTATACATAATATAAAACAATACATACATATTTTTTTATTAGAACAATGATATATCTTCTTATACATTTTTGACCTCAGATAAATCTAAGTTTTTAATATATTTTTTAAATGATTTAAAATTTTCAGATTGATTAAAGTTCATCCCCAAAGGGATATACTATAAAAAAAAAATTGATTTCACGAAATAACTCTTTTATAAGATTCATTAAATATGTAGACAAATGTCCTTCAAATTAGTACTATTAATGTAATATCGATACAACTACCCCATTTAAGTCTATAATCTATGATTAGACCAAGAAATTTTAATTGAAAATGACTATTTAACAAAGCATATAAAATTTGATTTTAGTATGTATATTTAATTACAGATAACCTATTCTTACAAAACCAAGCGTACACATTATTTAAAATCTTATTTGACTCCTAGTATAAATTGCCAATTGTTGGTTTAGATAATAAAATAGCAGTATCATCCGCAAAGCTTAGTAATTGTGTGTCTATGTTTGTTTTTATTCAGATCATTTGAAAAATTATAAATGATAAAGGATCTAACACAACAGTATTATTATTCCTGTGGTACTCCAGAAGTTATGCCTCGAGTTTCACTAGAACAATCATCAATTTTAACTTTTTAAGTTCTATCACGTAAAAAAGATTTTAGCAGGTTATTGACTTTACCTAACCCATAAATTCTAAGGTTAGGTTAGGTTAGGTTAGGTTAGGTTAGGTTAGGTTAGGTTAGGTTAGGTTAGGTTAGGTTAGGTTAGGTTAGGTTACTCTGAGACTCAGAGCGCGGAGATATTTCACATGTTCTCTCTACATGTAAAACTATCTCATTCGTTTTGAAAATTGACAGACAACTGATTGGATTGCAAAAATGGCCTACCTAATATACCTTCAAACTTAATAGGGAAATTAGGATGTCGACATGGAATTTGGCGTTGTTTGAATGGTTTGCAATTTGAATGGGTAAGAAGGTTTTTCCCAGAGTTAGAATGGTCTGTTCAGTTATAACAGTCAGACTATAACGTTCAGTCTCTTCTACTGGCACATTTGGATTTAGAACGCTGAGTTTAATTAGATTAAGGTCACTGCCCGTATCTAGAAGTAGATTTAATTGATTCGGAGTAGTATTGAAACAGAGTACTTTCACCTGACCATCGTTTAGCTGGGCGGTGCATGT